AGATATAATGTGAGTTCCATGTAACTCGGAAATCTTCTGTATGTTACGTATTGATTACAATTATTCAAGATGTACGTTAAAGTAAAGATTTTAAAAAGGGATTAGGAAGTTAGGAGAAAAGTCAATTGTTTGTACATACTTTGTAGATACAAGTTGTTTTGGTCCAAAACCAACCTTTGGTACATATGGATACTATCCACCAAATCAGCTATGCACTGTACAATTCTTAGAAACCAATACAGACCTGCAAAATTTCACTTCAAAACCAAAAAAAAATCTCATAAATTTGACTATGTTTTGCGTCAAATTAAATTTCATTTTAGAACTTAAATGGCAACACTTTAACCACTTTGACATTTAAGTTCTAAAACGATACTTAATTCAGTTTCTCGAGCTACACAATTTAACTTCCATCAAGAAGTTTCAGGCTATGCAAATCAGTGCGAGTCGAGAAGATCGAAACCGATTCTATACATTGAAAGAATATCTAAAGAATTTTGTATCAGCTTTCGAAGAACACTGACTCTGGATTCTAACACAAGAAGCCTGATTACAATCTGAGTTGGATTTTCATTTTAATAACGCTTAAAACTGGGTCAACTATGCATGTTGCGGAACTGAAGATGTAATAATCTACAAAACATGTTCCTATGGTTAAAGTAAACATTAAAAAAGAGATACATCATCAACCTTAGAAACAACATTCTCCTTCTGGTCTCAGTTCCCCTTTCCTGTTCTCTTCAGGTACTCTTTCATGCGGATTTGGTTCGTCTCAAATATGAAAGGCATTCCCCGTATCTGCGCAACCATATACATACATATCGAGTTTAAGGATCTAGTAGAAGCGGGCGTTGTTCTCATAATGTAATGATCAAAAAGTGTATTCAGGATCAAACCTCAACAAGACAATCAGATTTGAGGATTAAACTCTGTCCAGGATCTACTTCCTTCTCATTTACTGAGATTGAATACTTCCCCAGATTTTTCATATGGAACGACCCATCATCACCCAACCGTATGATCGCCTGCATTCAATAACCCAAACAACAAAAGACACACGTTTGTTACAAATTCTGGGTTTTCTTTTTCTTCTCATTCAACCCAACACTTCTAAAATACAGAATGGAAGCATCTACTATTGACCAACCTGGCGTCGAGATATTTTGCTGCCCCGCTTTTCTCTTCCCAAATCAATGTCCACCGCGAGATCTTCGGTTGATCTACCCACCAAAACCTGTCCCAAGAAAGAAAGAGCCAATATAACAAGTGATATTATAATTCTAAAGAAGCTTAAATCAGACAAATGACCAAATGAATACCTCAGGTTTCTTGATGTAGTGTTTTGAATATCTACCATATAAGACAGCGAAAGCTCCACGGGAAGCAATGGCTCTTTGCATATATGAATAAGCAGCCTGCTCAAGTCTTATTATTGTTCTTTTCATGTCTTGGCTCTGATACTTGGAGACTGCAAGTGAAAATGTTTTAAGGAATTACAAACAAGCCTTACACCTTTTAAAGGTCTCTTTATCACCCATGGAAAAGGATCCCTACAATTTCACTACGAATCACTCCTAAATGATGGCATGATTTGAGCTT